CATATATATATATATATATATATATATATATCATGTGTTGTGGTTTTGTCCCCATGAAATCTAAGTTGTTTTATTTGTCTTTCTCCTTATGATGAAAAATAATCATGTGTAGGATTAGATTTATTTAGCTTTTTTTAATTTCATAATTGTGATGGTTCTTTACTTCATACTTAATTTACTTATTCAGTTTGTCTAATTGATAAGTTAAAACTTGTTGCAAATCATAATGATCCGAGAGGTCTAGGAATTCCTCAACTAGTAAGAATCAGATTGCAATATTGTGAAAAAGGAAAGTAGTCCATAGGGCAGTGCAAATAAATAAAGAAATATGTTTTGTTAGGTGTAGATTAGTGATTTTAGGGTGACAGACTAGAATAATAATCATTTTAACTTAGTGTTAGGAACCTAAAGCTTGGTTAGCCAAATTGAGGGCTTACGTGGGCATTCTAGAGTGACAGGCTAGATACTACCCAACATAACCAAGGATTTAGGAACTTAAATCTACGTTAGTCAATGTTCTTTATTCACTCGGAAGAGGGTAAAGAATATGTATGTTCCTATTTGTCATGATACTACACTTAAATTTATAAGCATTTGATTCCTACACTAATTATAATCTCATTGCAAGGAGAAGGATTTTTCATACAATTTGAACTCTTCTACATAAATTTAATTTAGAAGCATTTATCAATTCCTTTAAGTTAAGAAATAGAATATATCGGTATTAGTTGCTTCTTTATACAATTTCAACCTTAATTCCTAATTAATTTACCTACAATTTAAGTAGAGTTTTACTAAGTTGATAAAAAGAGTTTATCCTTCTTGATAAAAAGAGTTATCCTTCCTTATGGGATCGATACTTGGGACTCCCTTAGAATCCTATAGTACTTGAAACGATACATGCACATGTGTAGTATTGTGTAAAATTGAATTGCAAAGAAATATGAGAATTATTTATAAATTGAAATTGAATTAATTACACACTAAGCACACATATATTGCATTCGAGGATCAAACAGTGGGGAAAAAGTTCAGAATCATAGGGAAAAGTGAAGAGCTATTGGGTTTTTTAATCATAAATTCCTA